CCTACCCTATCTGCTTTACAGGACCTTTAGTTATAAGCTCTCATAGCACACTGTACTTCTCCTCTGTAGAAACTAAATCATGATTTATAATGTAAATTATTTAAATTTCTTTCCTTCCAAACTCCTTCATATCATACACACACACCACATGAAAAGTTAGCTCCAGGGGAAAGTTAGTTAACAGGGGTTAGCATCGTCTTATTCCAGTAGGTCTGGGGGCTATGTGCTCTTGGTCATCAAGTAGCTAACTTCTTCCATTTAATGGGGGTGTTAGCATCTGTAAAACAACTCAGTAAATGTAACAATATCAATGCATCAGATATTGTTATCTAGGTACTTCAGAGTGGAGCTAAAGCAGAGGACCTGGGGGAAGGGTTCTGTCCCGGCCAAGGCTCCATAATGTTCTGCGCCTGTTACAATATGAGGGACCAGATAACTGGACTGACAGAACACGTTACATCATGCATGGATAATATCCTCTGTAGTTCTATTCTGTAAATATCCCATACTCCACGTCTTGAAAGAGGAATTTAATTACCATAGATAATATTAGATTAGAATCCCCAATTTATACCATCCACAAAAATACTGTACAAAGAACAAAAAAGAAAGAAAAAAAAATAGGAGGAAGCCCTGATGACTTTTGTGTAGAAAAGATGTTCTTAAATAAGACACAAAATTCAAAGCCACTAAGAGAAAGTGTGTATTGAGAAATGGAATATTTCCTGCCATATCAGTAAACAAAGGATGTCACTGTCATCAGCGATTGTAGCCACCACCTGCAGTGAGCTGGTGAGCCCTGAGGGAACTCAGGAAGGAAACAATGAATACCTGCCATCCAGCGGCCCTCAGACTGCAGCCACTCCCTGCAGTGAGCCCTGAGGACACTCAGGATATGAAAACATGGGATACTGGCCCCAGATAGCTGACATACCCATCAAAGGAATGATTTCAGTGAGCCCAGACTCTTGCCTCTTCCCATACAGAGAAAAGCGCTAAATTCCTTAACTTGAGCTATGTGGTTTTCTTTAATTAACAATAATCTTTTGAAGTTCAGACTACCTGCCCTTTGCTGCAAAATTCCTATATACCCTGGCTCCCCACCTCGCCTCCTTGGAGCAGTTGTCTCAGGGTTTCTTGAGATGCTGCCTCCTGGGCCGGAAGTCCTAAATATTTCCGCCAAATAAACATAACTTTCAGCTTTTAGACTGTGAATATTTTTTTTGGTCGACAGTATCAAATTTAAAATTTTAATACTGGGAATTCCCTGACAGTCCAGTGGTTGTGTTTCAGGAAGGGGGACCCCTGCCAGGGCCCAAGAGTGAGCTCTTGTCCAGTACTCAGAAATGAACTGTCTGAGGAGACACAAGTGCTGACAAAGCAAGAGACTTTATGGGGAAGGGGCGCCTGGGTGGAGAGCAGCAGGGGAAGGGAGCCCAGGAGAACTGCTCTGCCATGTGGCTTGCAGTCTCAGGTTTTATGGGAATGGGCTACTTTCCAGGTTGTCTCTGGCCAATCATTCAGACTCAGGGTCCTTCTTGGTGGTGAGCGCATTGCTCAGCCAAGATGGATTCCAGTGAGAAGGATTCTGGGAGGTTGGTAGGACATATGGACTGGCATCTCTTCTCTCCTTTTAACCTTTCCCAAATTCTTCCGGTTGGTGGTAGCTTGTCAGTTCTGTTTGTTACCAGGACCTCCTGTGGTAAGATAATTCATGCAAGTTGCTACTATCTTGCCTGGCGAGGTCGGGCGGTTTTGGTCAGTGTTTCCCCTACAGTTGGGATTCCACGCTTTCACTGCCGACGGCCTGGGGTTTGGCCTGTGGTTGGGGAATTAGGATCCTGTAAGCCACCTGGCACTGCCAAAAAAAAGAATTTTTTTTAAATACTATAAACAAAGATAGAAAATAAGCTATAGAGTTGAAGAAAATATTTTCAACATATATACTAAATGATTAGTATCTAGGATACATAAAGAACATCTAACAATAAGAAAAAGAGCAGGACTTCCCTGGTGGCACAGTAGTTAAGAATCCGCCTGCCAATGCAGGGGACACAGGTTCGAGCCCTGGTCCGGGAGGATCACACATGCCGCAGAGCAACTAAGCCTGTGCGCCACAACTACTGAGCCTGCACTCTAGACCCCGCAAGCCATAACTACTGAGCCCGCAAGCCACAACTACTGAAGCCCTGGTGCCTAGAGCCCATGCTCCACAACAAGAGAAGCCACTGCAATGAGAAGCCCGCACAGCACTACGAAGAGTAGCCCCACTCACTACAACTAGAGAAAGCCCGTGCACAGCAGTGAAGACCCAATGCAGCCAAAAACAAATAAATAAGTAAATTTTTTAAAAAAGAAAAAGAGCAAAAAACCCAATAGAAAAATGGGCAAACTCATAGGAAAACTACAAGTTACCAATAAACATAGAAAGGATGTTCAGTGTCACTATTGTTAGAAAACAAAATTCAACCAAGTAAATTTGAAGATCTAATTGGCTTTATTCAATGATTCATGAATCAGGCAGCATCTCATCCAGTAAATAGAAGGGCAGTCTGAGGGGTTGTACAAAATGGAAGGGTTTTTTTAAATAAATTTATTTATTTTATTTTTGGCCGCATTGGGTCTTCATTGCTGCACGCTGGCTTTTCTCTGGTTGTGGAGAGTGGGGCCACTCCTTGTTGTGGTGCGCAGGCTTCTCATTGCGGTGGCTTCTCTTGTTGCAGAGCACGGGCTGTAGGCACGCAGGCTTCACTCGTTGTGGCACACAGGCTCAGTAGTTGTGGCACACGGGCTTAGTTGCTCCACGGCATGTGCGATCTTCCCAGACCTGGGATCGAACCCGTGTCCCCTGCATTGCCAGGCAGATTCTTAACCACTGTGCCACCAGGGAAGCCCAAAACGGAAGGTTTTTATAGGCAGAAGGAGGGTGCAGTTGGCCCTCCATATCTGTGGTTTTTGTGTCCATGGATTCAACCAACGCAGATCGAAAATATTCAGAAAAAAAATTCCATAAAGTTCCAAAAAGCAAAACGTGAATTTGCTGTGCCCTAGCATCTATTTACATAGCATTTACATTGTATTTAAAACTATTTACATAGCATTTACATTTTATTATATGTTATAAATAATCTAGAGATGATTTGAAGTATACAGGAAGATATACATAGATTTTATGTAAATACTACACCATTTTATATAAGGGAATTGAGCTTCCATGGATTTTGGTATTTACTGAGGTCCTGGAACCAATCCCCTCCCCAGATACATGGACAGCTGTATTAGCAAAAGAAAAAAAAAGCGTTCTTTCGGGCCAAGCTATCTTCTTTGGGGGTAAGGGAACTGCAGGGGTCTTTATCATACAGATCACCTCACTAGTGTTGATGAAGTAATTTCAGATTGATTATTTTAAAGATCACATTTCTGGGAAGAGTTGAAACTTCGATTAAGTCTTAGTTTGCTGTACTGGAGGCAAATGACTCTCCATTGGGCTTATTTCTTTTTAACAATATTAATTATGAAAAAGTAAAGTAAAACAATAAGACATCACTTTTACCCAACAGATTGACCAAGATATACAAATTTGGCAACATGAAATAATGGCACGGATGGGGGGAAATAGTCTCATACACAGCTATTATGTGTATACATTTCTCAGCATTTGTCTCCTAGTGACATTTGCATATATGCATGCAGAGTATGTTTATTATAGCATTGTCCATAATAACAATTGTAAACAACATATATTATCACTAAACGAATGGCTATTCAGACTGCGGAATGTTACGCAGAAAAGTAGAAGGAATAAGGGAGAACTGTACGTACTGTGGACAGATCTCCAAGGCCCTTTACTAGGAGAAAACAGCAAACTGAGGACTCCAACAGGAACACACACATACACGTATGCACACACAAAATACTATATATTTTCTGTTAATATATGTATTGTATGTAAAAGTACAGAAAAATGTCTGGAAGATAAATACAGGTTCATAAGAAGAAACTTTTGGTGAGAGAGATGAGGAAGCCAGGATTAGTAAAAAGTCATTAGCTTTATCTGTAATGTTTTAAACGTTTAGAAGAACAAATTTATGTATTACTTATGAACTTAATACTTAAAAATATTAAATGAGATACAAAGAGAAAACATCTAGCACACAGCAGGCTCTCATGAACTGTAAATTCGTCTCCCTCCACCAAAAGTGATTAATACCTCGGGTTCAGACACAATAACCAGATCCCACGAATGTGTCCCATGAAAATAAAATGTGTAAGGCATAGTTCAGGAAGAGAAGGCACTGACGTGGCACGTGGAGAGTGGTGACTTAGGGAGTGGAACAGAAGGAAAATTGCAGGTACAGGCAGAAACATCACTGCCCACACAAAAATGAACAAATGAGATCAGGGAAGATAGTCTCAAAGTAAAGAAACACAAAGAAATGCCCAAGGAAAATACAGGAGAACCATGATGCCATAACTATTCTCTTACTAAGCTTCTACTAAGCTCCAGTCAGTTCACATACAATGTACCATTTAGCCTGCAGAGTAACGGTATTACTACGCCCATTTCAGAAGATGGACACTGAGGTTCAGGTGTGAATTTGTCGGAACCCCTACAACTGACGGCGACTACAAGAGCCGGTATTCAAACCCACAACTGCTCTTTTCTACCATGCTTCGCCGACAATGCAAAGGAAAAAAAAAATCAAGAAAACCAAGTCAAGATATAGGCATCAAAATTAAAACAAAGACCCAAAACAGAACAGAGCCCCCCTGCAGAAGGTACGTGTGTTAATCGAGGGTCCCCCCACCCCACCCATGCAGAGAGGGGCGGGCGAGCGGGCGGAAGCTGAGGCCCCCCCGACCCGCTTCCCCTGGGAATACGGCAACTCCACGAGCTAGGGGCACAGAGAAACAAGCAAACCTCCCAAGAGCCTAGAAAGGCCCCAGCGCGGCGAAGAGGCGGGGCGAAGGGCAGCTTCCGGTTCCGGGCGCAAAGGCCCCACGTGTTCCGACCCGCCAGGCCCCGCGCGGCTCGGATCTGGCGGCGCTGCTAGGGCCGGGAGTGGGTTGGGGAGAAGCCGGGGCAGGGGAGGAGCCGCCGGAGCTGTTGGAGCCGTGAGTGCTGGGGGCTGGGCCGGGCCGGGCCGGGCCGAAGCAGGCTGAGCGGGGCTGAGCGGGGAGGAGGGGGAGGGGTCGGAGACCCCGCCCCCCTAGAGCCTGGGGAAATCGTACTGTCCTGTGGAAGGGGTTGGCGGCAGTATGTTGAGGGGGCTGAGGCGTTGTGGTCCCCGTGTTTCCTGGCGGCCGAAGCTAGAACCTTCGGGTACGTGGAACGCGCTCCAGGCTTCTTTCTTTGCAGCCACCGCCCTCCGCCCCCTCTTGAGGCCTGCAGAAACGCAGTTAGTTCGTACCGCCCTCCCATTGCTTCCGTGCCAACTGTCCTCCCGGCACCGTGGGAGGAGTGGTCGAGGCCCCTTCATTTCCCGCAGTTTTTTACCCCGCCTCTCAGCTGGCTCAAGAATCCCCCCGAAGGCTCCCTGCCCAGGCGAGCCCCATCACTTGCCACCACTAACTACGCCGCAACACACGCAGATACCCTCACCCGTGATTTTATCGCCCGTGATTTTATCGCCCGTGATCATGCTAGGCCTTGGAGACCACCTGGCCTGTGGCTTTTAAGCTGCACCGTGACGGACCCGAGCTTCCTCTCAAGCCAATGACTGCAGTCTCCACTTGCAACTTCCCTCCCCCACCCCTAACAGCCAGTTTGGGCACTTTTCTCGACACCACCGCTACCCTCAGCGGGAGTATATGGGGCCTGCTTCTTACCTGGTTTCGCGAAAAGTTTGTTAGTTTGTATGTTAGTTTTTCAGAAAGGTGCCAGCCCGATTTTTATTTTTCTGGGCCTTGATGTTCTTGTCTTCTAGGCGCCTTGATAACCTTGTCTGCCTTGGTCCTGGGGAGCAGGGCCACATCCAGGCTCTACTTAGAGGCTAGGCTTAGAACTGTTGCATTTTCTCTCTGTCCACATTCTGCAGGTGACACCCAGGGCAGCCTCACTCAGAAGCCACAAGGAAAGCTAGTGGAGTCCCTCATCCCTCCAACTTCTCTTCCAAGCTGCCCCATGGCCCTTGATCCAGAAAGCCACTTCAGAAAGGTTGTGGGACAGCCATGGGAGGCTTGTTGCTGGGAAATGTATGACAGCGGAACAGTTAGGGTTTGTAGCCATTTGTCTTGGGTAGCTTTTTGCTATTACTATCTAGCCTAAGAGGGTGGGCAGGCTTGGAGGGAGGAAAGAAATTTTTTTCTCCTAGGACTAAGCACTGGGGATTCATAATCTTGTCCCCTCTCTCCTCCAGCTGTACCCGTTTTGCACTCTTTCTGTATACCATATTGCAGTAGACAGTCATTTCAAGGGCACAGCAAGGTTTACTACGAAGTGAGGGACTCTTGGGCATTATAAACTATGCAGATGAGGTAAGTTACAGGTTTACAACATTTTTTTCCAGCTAATTTGGCACGGACGTAAAACACATATAGCAGTCCTAGACGCCTTTCCTCCTTTAAATTTGGCCAGCACTGGAAAAGTTGGATCCCTTCTGCTCGAACCTCAGATTTATCCCCTTTGCCTTAGGGACTGGTCCTCAGACTTACCAAGCATCTTAAACCCCTGAAGGGCTTGTGAAATACAGATTACTGGGGCCACCCCCAGAGTTACTGATTATAGGTCAGGGCTGGGGCTTGATCATTTGCATTTGTAACACGTTCTCTGGTGCTGGTGTGCTGGTCTGGGTTTTCCCACGTTGAGAACCACTGCCTTTGGCCAGACTTCTTCACACAAACATTGCAGTGGTTTGGACATCAAAAGACCTGTGTGTGAGTACTTCTGTACTTGAAACTAGTACGATGATCTTGTGTGGGTAATTTAACCACTTAGGTCTGAGTTCCTTGATTTGTAAAATTAAGAAAGTGTACTTCAAAAAAACTCAAAGTGCTACATTTTCTTAAGCTGAATTGAAGCTGAAATACTGGTGAGTTTTTTCCCTTGATTTTCTTAATTCTCTTGATAGGAGCTTCTATTTTTATCATATAGCTTATACCCATATTCTAGGTTTTTGCTGTGAGTTCCTAGTATGCCAAAGTCCCAGCTATTTTTTAACTACATGTTAAATTCTTTAAGGTCAGGGCCTGTGCTTTTTTCATCTTTCTTTGCCCAGCACCTTGACTTGTGTGGGACACACAATTGATGCTCAGTAGATACTTCTGGGATGAATGAACTCCATCCCCTGCCTTCTCTTGGAGAAATTTTCCTCCACTAATCCTGTGTAGCATAGTAAAGTGGTATATGGCTATGCCACCTGATTCCCTCAGGGGATTGGAATAAATGCTAATGCCAAATTCCTGTAACTGTCCCCAGAAGCCCTGGCACCCACTGATTCTGAATTTCAGTGTCTGTATTCAAGTTGGAGGAAGAGAAATCAACAGCTTAAATAAATACAACACATATTTATCGAGCATCTTTTTAACCAGGTGTTTGACGAAGTGTTAGGAACAGGGAATATAAAAATATATAAGGAGGTCCTTGCTTTCAGGGACAGGGCTCACAGTGGGAGACAAAAGACACTAAACCGTGGCCCAGAGCAAGAATGGCATCTACTTTGGACCATGATTTACTCTGCAGTGGAAACCTGATACCCCTCAGATTCCTGTGGTCCAGCAGGCATGGATCCCATCCTTCATCTCATCATACGCAAGGGAGCTTTGGGCAAAGCCAGAAGGAAGTCATCTAGGTACAGAGCAGGGAGTATCTTGACAGAGAATATTAATTAAAAACTAAAAACATAGTGAATGACTTTTGAAGTAACTTCTGAATTATCCACATTTATACCCCTCAGGTCAAGCTATATTTATAAAATATCCTTTTTTCTTTCATTAAATAATGTTTCCTCTGTGTGACCGGCATTGACCGTGTTCACTGTAGTGAATTAAGTGTATTTGGCTAGTTTAACTCTGGCTTCCAGATAAAAGCTGCTACCCTCATCAGGGTGGGTGTCAGGTTTGGTGATCACCCTTTTCCTACTTCAGATTAGTTTGTGACATTCTGTTTTAAACTGAGGCATGTAGATTGGCCTGCTTTATTCAGGCCATTAACCACCCCTGGGTAAAAACCTGTAAGTTTAAAAAGCCTAGTTTCATGTCGGAGGTTACCCAATATGATCATGGTGGCAGGATATTTAATTCTGGTCTCAGAACCTGTATTTGGCCTCCAGCCCTTCTCAACTCTTGACTAAATTCCTCTCACCATCTTCAGGCTAATACATTATGGCCCAGGTACTCAATAAAGAGGCCACATATCCTTGTACCCCTCAAAGCCCCTCTATTACCATCAAAAAGCTGGATAGTTTCTCAAAAAATGATCCAGCTTTCTGCCTTTAGGTAGAAAATCATCCCCATTTTCAAGATGATTTGATGTGACTTGTCCCAGATGACACAGCTCTAGGAGGTGGAACACAGCTCATCCACCTCTGAAGGGAGAACTATCAACAGCGATCCAGGCCTCCTGGGCCTGTGTACGTACCTGTAGGAAACATTTTAATTGAAAATAAAGTGAATTGTTATGATTTTTATAGCTTTATTTAAATTTTTCATGCTTATATTTACTCTCAATTACATTTTTATACCTTGATCCTAACTGCAAAGTCTATAAAATTTAGTGGCAGAAGATATTTATGTCTTAGCCTCCTCTGACTCCCTGTACCACCCACTACTTATTTGGCCTCTCCTTTTATTTCTTCCTGTCTTCCTCTTTTTTACACCTTATAATAACCTTTGAGCTACTTCTCCCGTTGCTACTCAAATCTAGTGAAGAATCACTGAATAGAATCTTAACTAAATCTGTGTTGACTCTAACGAAGGAAGAAAAAATGTAAATGGCAAGAATATCTTAAATAGTTTTTAAACATGGTTTGAAGCACACTGATCATGATGTGTTAGAAGGCAAAAAGTCAGTGAAGGTATTCCCTTTCATTTCTTCTGCCTTTTGGGTTAGGTTTTCAGAGGAGCTCTTGGGTATATGGGCAGACCTCGGAGATATTGCGAGTTCAGCTCTGAACTGCTGCAATAAAGGAAATACCACAATAAAAACAGGAATTTTTTGGTTTTCCAAAAAACTGTTTACACTGTACTGTAAAGTTCTCTTTACACTGTGCTGGAGTCGATTGATTAAGCAATAGCATTGTGTCTTTAAAAAAATGTATATAATTTTAAAATACTTGTTGCTAAAAAATGCAAACCCTCATCTGAGTCTTTAGTGAATCATAATCTTTTAGCTGGTGGAGGGTCTAGCCTTGATGTTGATGGCTACTGACTGAAGAGTGGTGGTTGCTAAAGGTTGGGGTGACTGTGGAAATTTCTTAAAATAAGACAGCAATGAGGTTTGCGGTGTTAATTGACTCTTCCTTTAATGAAGAGTTTCTCCATGGCAGGCAGTGCTGTTTAATAGCGTTGTACCCACAGTAGAACTTCTTTCAAAACTGAGTCAGTTCTGTCCAACCCTGCTGCTGATTTATCAACTAAGTTTATGTAATAGTCTAAATCCTTAGTTGTCATTTCAGCAATCTTCACCAGTAGATTCCGTCTCAAGAAACCACTTTCTTTGCTCATCCATAAGAAGCAGCTCCTTATCCGTGAAGTTTTTATCATGAGATTGTAGCAACTCAGTCACATATTCAGGCTCTACTTCTTATTCTAGTTCTCTTGCTATTTCTACCACATCTGCAGTTTCTTCCTTCACTGAAGTCTTGAACCCCTCAAAGTCATCCATGAAGGTTGGAATCAGCTTCTTCCATACTCCTGTTAATGTTGATGTTTTGACTTATCCCCATGAATCACTAATATTCTTCATGGCATCTAGAATGGTGAATCCTTTCCAGAAGGTTTTCAGTTTACCTTGCCCAGATCCATCAGAGGAATCACTGTCTATGGCAGCTATAGCCTTACAAAATGTATTTCTTAAATAATAAGACTTGAAAGTTGAAATTACTCTCTGATCCATGGGCTACAGAATGGTGGTTGTGTGAACAGGCACGAAAACATTCATCTCATTGTACATCTCCATCAAAGCTCTTGGGTGACAAGGTACATTGTTCAATGAGCAGTAATATTTTGAAAGAAAATTTTTTCTCTGAGCAGCAGGTCTCATCAGTGGGCTTAAAGTATTCAGCAAACCATGTTGTAACAGATGTGCTGTCATCCAGATTTTGTTGTTCCATTTATAGAGCATAGGCAGAGTAGATTTAGCATAATTCTTAAGGGCCCTAGGATTTTCAGAATAGTAAATAGCATTGACTTCAACTTAACGTCACCAGCTGCATTAGCTTCTAACAAGAGAATCAGCCTGTCCTTTGAAGCCAATCATTGACTTCTCTCTAGCTATGAAAGTTCTAGATGGCATCTTTTTCTAGTAGAAGACTGTTTTGTCTGCATTGAACATCTGTTGTTTATCTTAGCCACCTTCATTAATTAGCTAGATCTGGATAACTTGCTGCAGCTTCCGCATCAGCACTTGCTGCTTCGTCTTGCACTTTATGTTACAGAGATGGCATCTTTCTTTAAACCTCATGAACCAAACTCTGTTAGCTTCAAACTTTTCTTCTACAGCTTCTTCACCTCTCTCAGCCTTCATAGAATTAGAGAGAGTTAGGGCCTTGCTGTGGATTAGGCTTTGGCTCAAAGGATTGTTGTGGCTGGTTTGAGCTTCTATCTAAACCACGAAAACTTTCCCCACTTTATCATTTGTGTATTCACTGGAGTAGCACTTTCAGTTTCCTTCAAGAAACTTACCTTTGCATTCCAACTTGTCCAACTGGGGCGAGAGGCCTAGCTTTCAGCCTGTCTCATCTTTCGACATGCCCTCCTCACCAAGCTTAATCATTTCTAGTTTTTTATTTACAGCAAGATACACACAATTCTTCCTTTCATTTGAATACTTACGGCCCTTGTAGGGTTTTTAATTGTCTTAATTTCAACATTGTTACGTCTCAGGGAATAGGGAGGCCCAAGAAGAGGCAGAGAGACGGAGGAACATCTGGTCAGTGGAGCAGTCAGAAAGCACACATTTATTGATTAAGTTTGCCATCTTATATGGGCACAGTTTGTGGCACCCGAAAACAATTAGAATAGTAACATCAAAGATCACTAATCACAGATCACCACAACAAACACAGTAATAATTAAGCTTGAAATATTGTGAGAATTATCAAAATGTGATTACATCAAGTGAGCAAATGCTGTTGAAAAAATGGCACTGATAGACTTGCTTGTTGCAGGGTTGCCACAAACCTTTAAGCTGTAAAAGAAAACAAAACAGAAAACACATTATCTATGAAGCGTGATAAAGGTGAATCGCAGTGAAATGGGGTATGCCTGTACTAACTGGGTTTGCCTCAGGTTGCCTCTTCCCAGTTAGGGGAAGGGGACAGGACTGTGATATTGGTAAACAGAAGTATCACTACTCTGGTCTTAGGCAGGAAAACCTATCTTTAAGTTTTCATCCCATCTGGTTCCAAGGATCTTGTTTACTCTTAGCTTGTAAGTGCTTTCAAAGCAAGAATTCTCTCTTGGTTTAACACTTTACTTTCTTTTAGGGGGTCTGCACCACGCAGCTTGCAGGATCCCAGTTCCCCGACCAGGGATTGAACCATGGCCACAGTAGTGAAAACGCCGAATCCTAACCACTGGACCACCAGGGAACTCCCTTAACACTTTACTTTTGATGTAACAGTAAACAGACCAAGATTTTCCCTGTGCATTAAAAAAAAATTTGTTTTGAATTATGATGAAATAAAGGACTTTGATTATCATGTAAATCTTCTTCCCAAAAGGATTTAAAGCGATTTGAAGGAAAGAACAGAATATATAGAGCATCTACCATATACCAAACTCTGTGCTGAGCGATTCTATGTGTTACTTCATTGATCCTTAAGACCACCATATGAGGTAGGAAGTATTTGCCACATGTTGGAGATTGGACTGAGGCTTAGGGAGTGTCACTTGGCTAATAGGTGAGGGGAGGGATCCAGACTAAGGCTCCAGAGCCCCTAACCATTATGTGGAAAGTATGGGTAAACGTTTGTGTAAGGATCAGTAACAGTAAAATGAAAGAATCTTTCCTGTAGGAGGATCATAGTGGGTAGTCTTTAGTTTTAAAGAACACTACAGGAGTAGAAAAGGGCAGTTAACAATTTTTATTAGCTGATTATTTTTTCTAGAGCAATGAGAGGAGCAGTTGCAAGCGTCTGGTTAGTCCCAGCGATCACTGATTCAAATCTCCAGGCTCTGGGCCCGCGTTAGACTCAAAGAGGAGAAGGGAGACTGGAAAGAATTTAAATGTCTGCTGAATAGCATCATTCGAACCTCTCTGATCACTATTTTCTTCTGAAGATTAATTATTTGCCAGTAAGTAGATCCCATCTCTCCTTTAGGAAGATGCTATAAGACTACAGACCTTGTCATTTAGGGTCCAGAAAGATCACTCCAAGTAGGAATAACATTTTAAGATAGAGACCCAGGTATCTTTTCACTGCGTGCAGTTTTCTTTTCTGGTCTTTAGGGTTGAGTTAGGGCCTTAACTGGCATGGGACCCACTCAGATATGGACAGAGACAGCTGGACCGCAGACTGGAGAAAGGTCTTGCCTTTCCCACATCTCCTCCGCAGTCCTGCCGCAGACGTCCTAGAAACACTGAAGAGGCTAGGTGGTGGGGCCAGCCCAGGCCGAGGCGTCTCTGCAGACATTATTTTAGAGCCTTGTGAAGCGTCTCTGCAGACATTATTTCAGAGCCTTCTGGAAACAGGTCTTTCACTCTTCCTGGCCTGGCCTCACGGTCTCTCTATAGTATCCTGTTGTTGGGTTTTTGTCTGTCACTGTGGAACCCTTCCAAGGACAGACACTGAGGGAAGGCCTTAGAAGGCAACGAATTGCAAGGCAGACTTGCAGGGTAACCCATCCCATAAATGGCGGAATAAAATGCAAAGCCCATTTTCTGTCTCTAGTACTGACACCTGACATTTGCACAGCATGCTCTAGTTCACAAGCTCTCAGAGGTCTCAGCTAACCCTGAGAGTTAGGAGAGTTGTTGTCGGAAGAGGGCTTCACCCTTTACAAGGGCTCTTGTGTACCTCGTCTCAGGAAACCCTTAGAGCGGTTCCAGGTTTGTGGGGATGTGGGCTGGAACGTACACCTTTGGATACCTAATCCGGTGCTCTTTTCACAGCACTGCCCGCCTTCTCTTCCTTCCCATCTCTTGCCCCAACAAGGACGACTCTGCCGCCCCTCATTCCGCTGTTGCTGACCTTTTGTCGCCATCTCATCTTCTGAGGCTGCCAAAGTAAATACAAAACAAGCGAAGGAAATCTCAATCTGTGATTTCTGAAGAGCATTTTAAAGCAGCAGGTTCTATAGCAGCAGGTTCTATGTGATGCTGTTACATTCTTTTTTTCTTTGGAGAGCAAAGCCCTGTAAGAGCATACTTTGTAGAATCTGTAGTAGGGCATCTCGTGGACTGTGCTACGTGAAAACAGTGAGAGTTCCTAGCCTGCTTCGCTGGGCAAGTTCTCCCATTTTTAAGTTAATAGAAATCCCTTCATTAAGCCAGAGACCCTGAGTATCAATTCCATCTTCTTTTCCTGCCTTGCAGATGTTGGGGGGATTGTCTGGATAAATAATCAGTGTTGTACTTGTGTTAAATTACTTGATGTCCGGTTTTGTGCATATTAAGGTTGATTCACATCTTCAAAGGAAAATGATTTTTTTTTTCAAATGCACAGCTTTGTGTGACTTGTATGTGGATCCTCCCAAGGCAGCCTGAAGATTCCTTGTGATGAGTTGTGTTTTCCTCACTTCAGGAACCACTAAGAGTATTCTGTTTTACTCGCAATCTAAATAATAAGTGTTTTTTCCCTTATTTATTCATTTGTCTGGCACACAGTTAGCTGGACAAATGAGTGAATAAGAATTAATAAGATATTGGATCTGTCCTTCCAGAGAAAGACTTAAAAAGACTTACCGTGGTCTCTGCCTGAGAACCTGTTGTGTGACAGGCCTTGAGCTGGGTGCTGTGTGGCCCTGCCCTCGGAGCTTTATGGTCTGGTGAATTAAACAGGAGGATGAACAATTCTTACCACACGAAAAGTAGATATATGTGTGTGCTGCGATACAGGGTCCGAGTTCCTGTGGAAACAATCTGGGAGGACCAGGGAAGGCATCTGGGGAAAGCAGATCTGAAGGATGAGTAGAGTTAACCAAGTAAAAGGGGTAGAAAGGGTATTTCAGGCAGAGTCGACAGCAGGAACACGTAGTGAGGGCATAGAAAAGAGATACAGCAGTGTATTTGAGCAGCAACTTTCAACGCAGTAGCAGTCGTTGGAGAAGAGAGGTGGGCAGGGGCCAGGTCTCGCAGGGCCTTGGGAATCAAGTTGTAAGGGGTTTAGATTTTACCCTGTGGACAGTGTGAAGCCATTGGCCGATTTTGTATGTTAGAAGGGTCACCACTCAGACCTTACCGCAGCACTGCAGGTGGTATTGATGTGGATGTGGCTCTTGCCCATTTTTAAATGCTTGCACTCACCTGCCTCCCTGCCCCCAAACTAAAGGTAAATGTCTACGTTCCAGAAATAAAAGCTGGAGGAGTGAGCACAGTCTAACTCCACCACAGCCCGGGGAGATTTCAAACCAAAATAAAGACTTCTAAAGTTTGGGGTTCTAATACCTATACTCCAACAAGGAGATATGAAAATGGGGCACTGGTGGGGATGGGGGAGGGATATAGAGTTGAGTATCTGCCAGCCTGGAGCCTTGAAGAGCTACTCCTTCCGTGAAAATCTGTCTACTGATCAAGCAAAAGGGCAAGGAATTGTAGGCCTCCATAGCCTTGGGTGGGACAGAAATCACTCACAGGCTTAGGCCTAAGTAAGACACTATCGGCATAATTCAGGAAGACTGAGAAATTAAGATACTGAAACCACTAGTACTTGGATGGAAGCAAAGGAAATTTCATTCAAAGGGCTCACTTTTATAACCTAGGGCTCTCCCAAAGAAAACGGGCATAAAACGTAAAAAAATTACAAACCACCTGCAAAAACAAACCACCATGAGATAGAGCAGATGTAGTAAGTAGGTAAATTAGCCCAGGAAGATCTGTAAATTACAGAACTATAGACCATGAGATTATGTAGTGAATGTTTGCGGGTAATGGAAAAATGAAATAAGCTTGAATGAAAAGTGATTTGAGATACAGATTTAAATAATGAATAATTTGGTGGTTGATGGGCAACAGCACGTTAGACAGCATGTTACAGCTGTTAAGAGTGGATCGTTGACCTTGAAGGTGGACCTGAGGCAGTTGTAGTGAAGCATAAAAAGATTGGAAAATGAAGAACCCTCAGGTTGCATGTGGAGAGTGGTCTGGAGGCGGTGGCACCTGGAAGCCCACTGGTAAAATTTGAAGCAAGTGGTTCGTTCCACATGTAAGTGCCAGTGCAGTCGTAGGGGCCGAGGATGTCGTCACTTTTTAAGAGGTCCTATCAATGCCTTTTAGTGGGTCATAACGGCTTCACTCGGGGAATGGCAGTGGAGATGAGATGCATGAATTTGAAAGATTTAGAAGGTAGGATTAACAAGATTTGGTGAATAAAAAAGAGTAGAAACTTACGGAGGAAAAGATTGATTCTTACTGTTAATGTAGGAAGAAAACTTCAAAGTGGAGGCTTATTCATTTAGATGCATTTATTGTGTGCTTTGTTATAGGTATTGGAAATTGATTGAAGGACAGTCGCCTACTTCAAGGGGTTTCAGGGGAAAGATGAACGATGACTGTGTGATGTGGCAGATTTTGAGATACAGATGTGTCCAGATAGCTGGGGAAGCAAAGTGATTTCTAACCAGGTCTAAGGGCAGGGAGAATGGGATCAAAGAAGGCATCTCAGGAGACATGAAGCCTTACCTATCTATGTCTTGAAAGATAAGTAAGTTTAACCTAATGAAGGGTAAAGAGTTGGAAGGAACGGCATGTTCAAAAGCCAAAGAGCATAGACCTTTTGTGCGCTTTACATGCACAATGTGCATGTGTGTGTGTGTTTGAAAGGATTGGAGAGGAAGGCAAAGGAATAACAAGATGAAGGGACTTCCCTGGTGGTCTAGTGGTTGACTCCATGCTCCCAATGCAGGGGGCCCAGGTTTGATCCCTGGTCAGGGAACTAGATCCCACATGCTGCAACTGAAAGATCCTGTGTGCTGCAACTAAGACCTGGTGAGGCCAGGTAAATAAAATAAATATTAAAAAAAAAAAAAAAGAAACCCCAGATGAAGGTCAACCTAATACATAATACTTAGAAGTTTGTATTTCACTTCCAAGATAGGAGTGATTGAGGATCTTAAATAAGGAAGGGACAGGACCAGGTTTGCCAAGAGCAGTCACTCTTGTGATATGATGAATGGTGACGAAGGTAACAAACCTGGAGACAGATAGCTCACATTTAGAGGCAATTGCAGTAATCCAGAGGAGAACTGATTTAAGACCCAAACTGTAAATCCTGGGAATGAAGAAGAGGGGACCTGTTGAGAAGAAGTAGGAACACATGTGAAGCATTGGTGGTGGGAGTTTTCCATACAAAAGGAACAGATTTTACAGACTTGGAGGCCTGGAAAGGCACCCTATTGTAGGGAGGTCAGCAATGCATTCATTATAGCAGGTGATACAGAGAAGAGGGGAGGATATGAGGCTTGAAAAATAAATTGAGGGCTGGTTGTGAAGGGTTTCATGTACCATGCCAAGGATTTTGGAACTGATCTTACTAACAGTATGAAATTATTTTTAAATGTTGAGTGATGCAGTTGGAACTATTATTCAGAAAGATAATGGTTAACATTGGGGCACCATCACTTTTAGGCACTTCACAGGTATTCCTCATAGTAACCCTATTAGATGGATTCCATCCTACCTCCATTCTGTAAAGGGGAAACAGGCATAAGGAGAATAAGAACTTGACCATGACCCCATATCTAGTAAACAATAGAGCCAGGATTCAAACCCTGGCAATCTGACTCCAGGACTCTCTCTTAACCTTACATGCACTAAGTGTTTCTCAGCTAGGATGCACATCAGAACCACATGTAGCATTTCTAAAGATACAGCTCCCTAGGTTGACTTGACTCAGAATATCCAGAAGAATGATGCGTGATGCTGTGTTTTGCAAAAGCGCCACAGCTGAGTCTGTTGCGTTTTGCTCATAGCTGAGTACTGCGGGGATCCCAGTTAGGAAGTTATGGCAGTAGTCCAGGCAAGAGATGGGGGCCCAAACTAAATCAGGAGGAAACAGATTTAGAGGCTTAAGAGGTACAATTGGTTTAGTGAGCTGTAAGTAATGGGTAAGAGTCAAAGTTGAATCCAAAGATGATAACATTGAGTGTTTACTTAACAAGTCATGATCTCAGCCAAGAGGGGTGGACTTGGGAGTAGGAATCGTGAATTTAGTTTTGAGGGTCTGTAGGTCTTCCAGTTAAAGATGTCTTAGGAGGAGGGTTGCTTTTGGGGGTGCTTATGTGCCAGCCACTGTGTGTAAGTGGCTTTCTTCGCTGTTTTCGCATACAATCCTCTCAAATCTCGGAGAGTCCCCAGTTTACAGAATAAATTAATACGGAGTGTGATTCAGTTCACAGTGAACCTCCACAAAGCCTTCTCTGTCTAATTCAGCCCTGTCAATGTGTCTCTTCTCAGAATATATATCCTAATATATATGTCAGCGTGTGTGTGTGTGCGTGTGTGTGTGTAAAACAGATTGTGGTCAGTACCGCATTTTTAGCAGGCAGTTATGACTGTCCTTTCTCCTAGCCATTTTCCTTTTAGGTTCCCATATTTCATGATGTAGAAATGCAATGTTTTTCTGTTTTTCTATGGGGTGTGAATCTTGCCTAGGAAAAGGAGTGGGAGAACATACCTTCAGGCATAGCTTATCCTATTCCAACTAGATCTATTTACAACATATGTTATGGAGATTAGGGGAAAGGGGATTTAAGTTTGGGAGTGTTATGTGTACAGGATTATGATTGAGCTCAAAACTGTTATTCCTGTGTATACTTTCATGCTCATAGTGTTGTCTGTCTTTACTTCTCTACCCAGGTCCCTTGGGAGAAACTCCTCGAGGTGCCCAGGCTGAGACGGGGGGAATGACAGTGTGAGCTCTCGATGGTGTGAGACCACCCCAGAGCCAGACAATGGCTACAGCCTTGGAACCGGAGGACCAGGATCTTTGGGAAGAAGAGGGGATTCTCATGGTGAAATTGGAAGATGATTTCACCTGTAGGCCAGAGTCTGTCTTACAGAGGGATGACCCTGTGCTTGAGACGTCGCACCAGAACTTCCGGCGCTTTCGCTACCAGGAAGCAGCAAGCCCTCGGGAAGCTCTCATCCGACTCCGAGAACTGTGTCATCAGTGGCTGAGGCCAGAGAGGAGGACAAAGGAGCAGATCCTAGAGCTGCTTGTGCTGGAACAATTCCTTACTGTCCTGCCCGGAGAGCTGCAGAGCTGGGTGCGGGGCCAGCGGCCAGAGAGTGGCGAGGAGGCCGTGACGCTGGTGGAGGGTTTGCAGAAACAACCCAGGAGACCAAGGCGGTGGGTGAGGAGGGGGAGTCCTGATCTGTGTGATGTGGAGGGGGTCTATTTGCTGGGAGCATGGATTTAGGGGTAGGGCTTACGTAAATTACCCCATAAATTGAATTGGCTCTGCCCTTGGGTTGTACCTAGATCCATGAGCTCCATGGGACAGAGGAGTGTGTGTGTGTTTGTGTGTGTATGAGTGTGACTTCCTGGTTCTTGAAACACCTGCCTAGGGACCATCTTTGTGGCCTCAGCACACAAGATGATACGGCTTTGGTTTTCCCTTTGGATGTTGAACCTCCATTTCCTGGGGAGGAGAATTCCGTGACTTCCTCAGAGGTTCTCAGCCCCGCAGTGACAGATCCCCCTTTCAGGACGACAGACAGGGAAGCACACAGCAAGGCGAGCCGCAGGTGGGGTAGGCGAAGATGGGAAGGATGGGACCTCAGAGCCCTGGTGACAGGCAGGGTTGAGGGAAATGAGAAAGCAGGGCAGCATCTGAATGTCCCCCCTTGTCCTGGCGAGGATAACCTCGGCTCCTCCTCGCACGCCCCAGTGGGACTGGACTTTCCCCTCCTCGTCTGGGTCCCTCTGGGAGTTTTCCTGTTGGCAGCTTCTCCTAACATAAGCCCTGATGACAACCAAGACTTTCCTCCTGACTCCATGGTGACTGGAAGTTGGAATTATTCCCAGGTGACTGTCCATGTTCACGGCCAGGAAGTCCTGTCCGAGGAGACAGTGCATCCAGGAGCAGAGCCCGAGTCACCTAGTGAGCTTCAGGATCCTGCACACACCTTGACCCCCGAGGAGTCCCATGAGGAGACCACACAGAGCCCAGATCTGGGGGCACCAGAAGAGCAGAGCCTGTGCCAGGAGTTGGAGTTCCAGCCCCTGCAGGAGAGCGGTGGGAGCCTCAGCAGGAAGGGGGGATCGTGGCAGAGTGAGGGGAGGGGGATATTGCTCCCATACCGAGGAGGCTGGCTAGATCATAAGGGGAGGAAACCACAGAGTACAGGGTGTTGAGAGGAGGCAGTACTAGCTAGAGTACCCGTAAGCAGGGCTACCTTGGATAGCACTTTTGTTGGTTATTCTCCTGGCATTCCCGTAGTGTTACAGGTGGTGGCGTTGGGATGACTCAAGCCGCCCTTAGGCCTGTGTCTTGACTCCCACCTTCCCACCAGAGACCATGGGGGATGCTCAGCTCTTTGCCAGTTTTAGGGCTGCCCTGCACACTGCTGATCTCTGCCTTCTTTTCTTCTTAGAGCTTCCAGTGCCCCAGGACCCAGCCCTTCCTGAAGAGAGGAACCCTGGAAACCCAGAGATGGTTGCCCTTCTTACTGCTCTATCACAGGTGCACCCTAGTTTCTGTCTATACCATGGAGAATTTGAGGAACCGTTGGGCATATACACTGAACAGGTCAGACGGGACACAAGTTTCCACTCTCCTTTGCCAGTTTAAGTTCTCAGTTCTGCATGTGTCTGGAAGGGGAGGAACTGCAGCTAATGAGATCAGTTATGACATCTCAGTCGGATCTACAGGCTCCAGAGCCTTTTGATTTGCCACCAAGCAGAGGGACTAACAAAGTGGGATTATTTGGTAACACCCCAGTACAACTTTGAGGTTGTCAAGTGAGGGTTTGTTTTTGGTTTTAAGGAATAAACTTGATCGTCATTTGTAAGGATAACTGACTGTCCTGCAAAAACGATTTCTGATTTTGGGTGCTATCCTCTTCCAGGGACTGCATTCAGTCAGGCCATGGCATTCATGAAGACTTCACCATGGTCAAGAGCCCCACAACTAAGCTATGTGGCTGGAGAAAAAAGGAATAGAATTCATCCTTATTTTTATTTTATTTAATTATTTATTTATTTTGGCCGTGCCGCATGGCATGCGGGACCTTAGTTCCCTGACCAGGGATCGAACCCGTGCCCCCTACATTGGGAGTGTGGAGTCTTAACCACTGGACCGCCAGGGAAGTCCCCATCCTTATTTATTTATTTTTTTAAATAAATTTATTTCTTTTTGGCTGCATTGGGTCTTCGTTGCTGCATGTGGGCTTTCTCTAGTTGCGGCGAGCGGGGGCTACTCTTCCGTTGCTGTGCGGGGCCTTCTCATTGCGGTGGCTTCTCTTGTTGTGGAGCACGGGCTCTAGGCATGCGGGCTTCAGTAATTGTGGCTCATGGGCTTCAGTAGTTGTGGCTCGCGGGCTCTAGAGTGCAGGCTTAGTAATTGTGGCGCACGGGCTTAGTTGCTCTGTGGCAGGTGGGATCTTCCTGGACCAGGGCTCAAACCCGTGTCCCCTGCATTGGCAGGCGGATTCTTAACCACTGCGCCACCAGGGAAGCCCCCCATCCTTATTTTTAGATTGTAGTCTAGCTGAAGAAGAAAGTCCTGTTTATGCTGTATAGACTATGTAAGTGATGTGTGATTAGGTAAGGTCAGTTAGGGAAAGCTTCCTGGAAAAGATGAATTTTTGCAGAAATGTAGGTGGCACTAAAGTGTAAAATAGGGAGTTGAATGGTGACTTCTAAGACCTTTCTTGTATTTTAAACAATATCCTCAGAAAGAAGAACATAGGCGAGTGCTGAGGGAAAGTAGTGGGATTGGAGGGAGCAGGAAGCGGGCCAGTTGCAAAAGCAGAAACTTGGGAAGCAGCGACAGGATGAAACTCAGATGTCCTGAAAGGGAACCAAGTGTCGCATTTGAGTTTCTTTGTCTCCTGGATGGATTCTGCCTGTACCAATGACCTTTATTCCAGGAACAAAATATGAGGCTCCATAAAGCATGCCATTTTAGTAGAATCTTTGTGTTGTTTCAGGGATTGGTAACTTTCAAGGATGTGGCTGTATGCTTCTCCCAGGACCAGTGGAGTGATCTGGATCCAACACAGAAAGAGTTCTATGGGGAATATGTCTTGGAAGAAGACTGCGGAATTGTGGTCTCCTTGTGTAAGGAATTTCAAGTGTTTCTAGAGTGTCCTGAGCACAGAGATCTTTTTCTTGTTGGAAATTGAGGGTGTCTTAGACCTTAGATTGTACGTACTACACTTCTCTTATGCCGACCCCACCAGTGACACTGAAGGACAGCCGAGGAAGATGGTGTCCTTCGAAGTTAGAGGGAAGAGAAAATGCCTAGAAAGTAGTTGGAAACCTCTAATAAGAAAACAGCTGTAGTACTATAGTTTTAGTATGAGTTTAAGTTTAGTGTGAGTAGGTAAGCATATAAGTTATGAAACAAGCAGTAAAGGTTGGAGACGATCTACTTACTTGAATCTGGGAAAAGAGGGTAACATTGACGGCTGTGTGATTATCGAGTTGCTGGTGAAAGGCAAGAGATAGGCAGTACTCGTCAGAGGTGCTCAAGCTAAAGAGACTGAAGGTTTGATGGACTGACCTGCCTATGTGATTGTTCTGCAATCTGCCAAACAGAAAAGATCTGCTCTTGACATGGGGAACAGTTGAACCAATCGTGATGTCCTGTTTTCCCTCTCTTGAGCAGCGTTTCCAATCCCCAGACTAGACGAGATCTCCCACATGGGAGAAGAAGAGCCTTTGATCCCAGAGATCCCAGAGGCGCAGGAGCCTCAAGAGCCAGAAATCCTGAGTTTCACCTACACAGGTGAGGAGTGACAGAGGGAATCTGTCCCCCAAGCTGGCAGTTCCTCTGGGGAACCCCTCTCACTGGTTCTTCCAACATGTCAGCCGACAGCACTCTCTCTGAAGCCAAATTCTTCTATCCTTTTCCCCTCTTCACGCCTATCATTGGTTTGAGGGATCTGTACTGCAAAATGGTGACAGACAAAAAAGGGGAACTTTTGGAATTGCAGCTATACCATTTTTTAAGCATTCACGTAAACCCTTGATCCCCAACCTCCATATTTGTGAAAGGATATGTTTCACATATCCTCTGTTTGTCCACACGAAGGCTGCTGACAGCGTGAGAGAGCGTATAAGAAAGTGCCTGGCACACGACAGGCATTCAGTTGACTGGTTATTTCCTTCTTCCCAACCTCTACACTTAAGAAACATGGGTTTCTCTCTTTACAGTCTTGCCCTCCCAAAACTGTTTAAAAATCTCTCCATGGTGTGCAAGGCGTCATTACCTCTATAATTTCCTCTTTTCTCCTCTCTCCCTTTCCACAGGAGATAGGAGTGAAGATGAGGCGTGTCCTGAGCAAGCAGATATGAGTTTGGAGGAGCTACACAGGTCTATCTTGGGAGATGCAGAAATTCACCAGACTCCAGACTGGGAAATAGTCTTTGAGGGTGATCCAGGCAGACTTAACGAAAGAAGATTTGGCACAAATATTTCTCAAGTTCATAGTTTAACGAATCTTCAGGAAACCGTGCCTGTCCACCCCCTGTTAGGGAGACATCATGACTGTACTGTATGTGGTAAAAGTTTCACTTGTAACTCCCACCTTGTTAGACACCTGAGAACTCACACAGGAGAGAAACCCTATAAATGTATGGAGTGTGGGAAAAGTTACACACGGAGCTCACATCTCGCCAGGCACCAAAAGGTCCACAAGATGAGCGTTCCTTATAAATATCCCCTAAACCGGAAGAATCTGCATGAGACCTCCCCTCTGGTCCAGGTTGAGAGAACTCCACCTGTTGAGAAACCCTATAGGTGTGACGATTGTGGAAAACACTTTCGCTGGACTTCAGACCTTGTCAGGCACCAGAGGACACATACGGGAGAGAAACCCTTCTTCTGTACTATTTGTGGCAAGAGCTTCAGCCAGAAATCCGTGCTCACAACACACCAAAGAATCCACCTCGGAGGCAAACCCTACTTGTGCGGAGAGTGTGGAGAGGACTTCAGTGACCACAGGCGGTACCTGGCCCACCGGAAGACGCACGCGGCCGAGGAGCTCTATCTGTGCAGCGAGTGTGGGCGCTGCTTCAACCACAGCGCCGCCTTTGCCAAGCACCTGAGGGGACACGCCTCAGTGAGGCCCTGCCGCTGCACCGAGTGTGGGAAGAGCTTCGGTCGGAGAGACCACCTCGTGAGGCATCAGAGAACACACACTGGTGAGAAGCCGTTCACGTGCCCGACCTGCGGGAAGAGCTTCAGCAGAGGCTACCACTTAATCAGGCACCAGAGGACCCACTCAGGAAAGACCTCCTAGCCCGGTCCCCACGTGCGGACACCTGCCTTCGACTCTTTCCCAGGGGTGATCTGGGAGAAGCCATCTTGTCGGCCTGGGAAGACCTTTTCTAGGGAGTCTCCCTCACCTGCCCAGATGTGCGTTAGTAACCTCTTCCCACAACTAGATCACCCCCCCACCCCCCCGGGCAGAACCTCTCAACTTTGTTCTACACCTTGAGGAGATATTCTTTCCAAAGTTCGCCTGAATTGAGGCCTCTCCGTGACTGGAGTGCTCCTGCCTCCACCTCACAGGTGTGAAGTAGGAGAATTAGAAGACTTAAGAGGTTGTGTTTACTATATTTGCCCCCAAATAAGCTGTTAACTATCCTAAAGACGCCTAACGCCCTCAAGTTTAAAGTGGCCCAGGACAGGTCCTTAGGTTTGGTAAGGGACCAGCCTTTAGGATTCTGTCCTTCCTGGGCTCAAATCTTAAAGCACACAGCCCTGAACTCAAGGCAGGAGACCTGCATCCTGATGGCTCTGCCACACTTTCACAGGTTAACTGTACAACTCTCTCACTGATACACTTCTTCACCATGCACTTTCCTTTGATTCTCGGGAGAGATGCGAGTAGTGGTTGATGGGCAAAAACATCGAGGCGGCTTCATGTGGACCTTGTCAGGCTGCTCCCTTCCCCATTGTCAAAATGACACCAGGTGCCAGACACAGCTTGAAAGGGGGGCCTAGTCAGAAGCCTCTTTCCTTGTGGGTTTTTTCCTGTTAGAATGCCCCTGCCCAGCCCTCCTACTGTTCTGCCAGGCTCTCGGTTTTGTCCCTAGTGCTACATCTGTGAGATGTAGCATTTGGGTGCTGAGGGATTCAGTAATGCCTAATTAAAACCATGTTGAAGTCATTTACATTTCCACATATATACACTCCCACCCACCCAACCCTCTTCCCATGAGTCTGTGAGGGGGTTTGGAAGTGGTGTCAGCTTACAAAGGCGCTGTCATGATTGTAGAATCCTGATCGATGGGGTCACTACACTTACGTGAAGAAAGCTGGAGAAGAGCTGAGCTCCAATTGTGGAAACTTTAAGCAAAAGCTGCTGCTGCTGGCCAAGGCCATCCAGACTGTTCTCCTGACGCCCCACCCCATCCACCCTGCCTCATTCTCTGATGTCAGGGAGACCTGGGACCCTGAAGAATTTACCAGGAGTAAAGGCTTTCATGTATTTGCGTTGTTTGCTTTTTCTTACGTGATTTCATTCTCATGTAATTAAGAACTAAGGAGTAGAATCTCATGGCCCAAGGATCTCTGTTGCCTGGTAAAGGTTCCATGGAGGTGAGGCTGAATAATCATGAACCTCACCTGCTCTGATTGTGTGGGAGCGGCAAGGACTGGGGAGACCATCCTCCAAAAGTGGAGCACGGGGTATGGGATTAAAGCATGAAAAGGGAGACTGCCTTCTGTGCTGGTTTCTTCTGCTCTGTTTCTCGACCTGTTGTGTGCCAGCATTCACCAGAGGAATGCGGGTGGGATGACAAAGCCGCAGCTTAACGGCTCAACAAGGGGATTCTCGTTCTGGTCAGTAATGACGTTCCAGCTGACTGGTTTGGTTTTAACTCCAGTCATCCATTGTCCTTCTGGAAGTACACACACATGAAATTTTAGAAAGTAACACGGGCAGCCAAGTTCCCTGGTTTCTAGGGCTTTCCATTTAACCCGTTCACTCTCCAGAGCCGCAGGTTCCTGAGACTTCTAAGGATCATCTACACAGAAGAATCTGGGAGGACATGATGGTTTTCCATGAAGATAGAGAAGGCCTGGCATGGTCAAAAGAGCCATAGGTGGAACTGAGGTAAGAGCTGAGTCTGGAGTTTGCCAAAGAGACTATCCTAACATGCAGACACTTCTGAGCCACTGATCTAAGGTTTAAGCACAGTTTGTCCTGGGTGAAATGGCACAGCATCAGAAAATAATTTCCCCTAGATTATAACATTTATGGAAGTTGATAAAATTCTGGAGGTAACAACAAATTACTTTTCATTCACTGATTTGTCTGCATTATTGCAATAGGTGAAAATCTGTCAAGAGAATTATACATAAAGGAAAGTTTGAGAGACAGTGCAGTGTGTTGAAAAATCAAATAGTTCTTTTATTGCTGATCCTCCTGCAAAGTTTCATATGCTGACACTAAATCTCTGGTCTCTTGTAAATGATTGTATTTTCTGAGGTTCCTGAAGGAATATGCTGTCTCCTGAATCTAAACACGAGCAAAACCATGGTTTGTAGCAGCAGGGCCAGTACGAGAGCCTGGCACGAGCAAGAAGCAGTACAGCTGAACACAGGATGCTGGAGCCCTGGATGCCCTACCATTCCTGAGGGGTCCTTCAGAATTCTGAGAACAGATGAATCCTGGAGTTCCCTAACACCTTACTAAAAAAAAGTTTCAGAGGAAGAAAAAGGCAAGATTTTATAAGATTATTTGGAGGAAGATATAAAGTAGTCTAAATGAATTGACAACTTAAAAAATTACTAGATTGTTGGAAATGAAGTGATTTGCTAACAAAGTTAAGAAATTAAAATGATAATATTGAGACCATTTGGCCACTAGTTTAGGAATACCAAGTAATATTCAGCCTCTTCTCCACTGCAGAGTCCCAAGAGAAGTAAATGGAAGGGAATAAAGGCAAAATATATTTTTATTATCTGGAACTGAGGGCTCAAACTCTAGAGCAGAATCTAGTGAATTCAGGATACAAATGTACACAACATAATTTAATAACTTGTGGGCAATAAAGATTCATGCTTCACAGTAATAGAATACATATCCTGAAATGGATGTAAAACAAAATAATTGCTAGTGTATACTGTAATAAAGTTTTAAATACCAAGTGAGTATTATATAGATTAAGTTCTCTGACCACAATATTTTTTATTGGAAAATCCACAACAAAAAGTTTAAGTTATATGTTTGGAGACTTTAAAATGTCCATATAGGGACTTCCCTGGTGGCGCAGTGGTTAAGAATCTGCCTGCCAATGCAGGGGACATGGGTTCGAGCCCTGGTCCGGGAAGATCCCACATGCTGCGGAGCGGCTAAGCCCATGTGCCACAACTACTGAGCCCATGTGCCACAATTACTGAAGCCCACATGCCTGGAGCCTGTGCTCCACAACAAGGGTGGCCACCGCAGTGGGAAGCCCGCACATCGCAACGGGGAGTAGCCCCCGCTCGCCACAACTAGAGAAAGCCTGCGTGCAGCAACAAAGACCCAATGCAGCCATAAATAAATAAATTTATTTAAAAAAATGTCCATATAAATAACTTTTCATTTTAATTAATTTTTGGCTACATTGGGTCTTCGTTGCTGTGTGCGGGCTTCTCATTGTGGTGGCTTCTCTTGTTGTGGAGCACAGTTTCTAGGTGCGTGGGGTTCAGTAGTTATGGCTTGTGGGCTCTAGAGCACACGCTCAGTAGTTGTGGCGCACAAGACTAGTTGCTCTGCACCATGTGGGATCTTCCTGGACCAGGGCTCGAACCCATGTCCCCTGCATTGGCAGGCAGATTCTTAAACACTGCACCACCAGGGAAGCCCAATGTAAAGAACTCTTGCATCAAAGGAGAGATCATGTGGAAATTTACTAACGCTCAGAACTAAAACAAAATGTAAATGCTGCATATCGATATTAATAGGATGCACTGAAAATGTTACTGAGCGGATAACAAAAAAGGAGAAGCTTAAAACAATGAGCTAAATTATCGGCTTAGGAATTTTTTAAATAACAAAATATAGAAAGGAGCTACTGCAGAAAGTAATGACAAAAAATTACATTAACAAAGGAAAAAGCCTGGTTTTTTGAAAAGACTGCTGAAATCTTTGGCAATATTGATTAAGAGATAGAAATATAGAAATACAGTACGTAATAAGCTACAGAAAGATAACTGTAGATAAATACAAATCAGTAGTAGTGGTATAAAACAAAGAATGCCTTTTGAAAATTGAACTACACAGATGGCCTCATCCACCAGAGGGCAGAAAGCAGAAGCAAGAACTACAATCCTGCAGCCTGTGGAAGGAAACCCACATTCACAGAAAGACAAAATGAAAAGGCAGAGGACTTTGTACCAGATGAAGGAACAAGATAAAACCCCAGAAAAACAACTAAATGAAGTGGAGATAGGAAACCTTCCAGAAAAAGAATTCAGAATAATGATAGTGAAGATGATCCAGGACCTTGGAAAAAGAATGGAGGTAAAGATTGAGAAGATGCAAGAAATGTTTAACAAAGACCTAGAAGAATTAAATAACAAACATTTAGAATAATTAAAGAACAAACAGGTGAACAATATAATAACTGAAATGAAAAATACACTAGAAGGAATCAATAGCAGAATAACTGAGGCAGAAGAATGGATAAGTGACCTGGACGACAGAATGGTGGAATTCACTGCTGCGGAACAGAATAAAGAAAAAAGAATGAAAAGAAATGAAGACAGCCTAAGAGACCTCTGGGACAACATTAAATGCAACAACATCTGCATTATAGGGGTCCCAGGAGAGGAAAGAAAGGACCCGAGAAAATATTTGAAGAGATTATAGTTGAAAACTTCCCTAACATAGGAAAGGAAATAGCCACCCAAGTCCAGGAAGTGCAGAGAGTCCCAGGCAGGATAAACCCAAGGAGAAACATGCTGAGACACATAATAATCAAATTGACAAAAATTAAAGACAGAAAAATTAATGAAAGCAACAAGGGAAAAATGACAACATACAAGGGAACTCCCATAAGGTTAACAGCCGATTTCTCAGCAGAAACTCTACAGGCCAGAAGACAGTGGCATGATATATTTGATGAAAGGGAAGAACCTACAACCAAGATTGCTCTACCCAGCAAGGATCTCATTCAAATTAGACGGAGAAATCAAAAGCTTTACAGACAAGCAAAAGCTAAAAGAATTCAGCACCACCAAACCAGCTGTACAAAACATGCTAAAGGAACGTCTCTAAGTGGGAAACACAGGAGAAGAAAAGGACCTACAAAAACAAACCCATAACAATTAAGAAAATGGTAATAGGAACATACATATTGATAATTACCTTAAACATGAATGGATTAAATGCTCCAACCAAAAGACACAGGCTTGCTGAATGGATACAAAAACAAGACCCATATATATGCTGTCTACAAGAGACCCACTTCAGACCTAGGGACATATACAGACTGAAAGTGAGGGGATGGAAAAGGGTATGCCATGCAAATGGAAATCAAAAGAAAGCTGGAGTAGCAATACTCATGTCAGATAAAATAGACTTTAAAATAAAGAATAGGGCTTCCCTGGTAGCACAGTGGTTAATAATCTGCCTGCCAGTGCAGGGGACATGGGTTTGAGCCCTAGTCCAGGAAGATCCCACATGCCACAGAGCAACTAAGCCCGAGTGCCACAACTACTGAGCCTGCACTCTAGAGCCCGTGAGCCACAACTACTGAAGCCTGAGTGCCACAACTACTGAAGCCTGCACACATACAGCCCGGGCTCTGCAACAAGAGAAGCCACCACAGTGAAAAGCCTGTGCACCAGAACGAAAAGTAGCCCCTGCTCACCGCAACTAGAGAAAGCCCATGCAGAGCAATGAAGACCCAATGCAGCCAAAAATAAATAAATATTTTAAAAACTAAAATAATAAAATAAAGAATGTTAACAAGAGACAAGGAAGGACACTACATAATGATCAAGGGATCAATCCAAGAGAAGATATAACAATTATATATGCACCCAACATAGGAGCACCTCAATACATACGGCAACTGCTAACAGCTCTAAAAGAGGAAATTGACAGTACACAATAATAACGGGGGACTTTAACACCTCACCTACACGAATGAAAAGATCATCCAGACAGAAAATTAATAAGGAAACACAAGCTTTAAATGACACAATAGACCAGGTAGATTTAATTGACATTTACAGGACATTCCATCCAAAAACAGAAGATTACACTTCTCAAGTGCGCACGAAACATTCTCCAGGATAGATCACATCTTGGGTCACATTCAAGCCTCAGTAAATTTAAGAAAATTGAAATCATACCAAGCAGCTTTTCCGACCATGATGCTATGAGATTAAAAATCAATTACAGGGAAAAAAAAGTAAAAAACACATGGAGGCTAAACAATACATTACTAAATAACCAAGAGATCACTGAAGAAATCAAAAAATACCTAGAGACAAATTACAACGAAAACATGACAATCCAAAACCTATGGATGCAGCAAAAGCAGGTCTAAGAGGGAAGTTTACAGCAATACAAGACTACTTCAAGAAACAAGAAAAATCTCAAGTAAACAATCTAACCTTACACCTAAAGGAACTAGAGAAAGAAGAACAAACAAAACACAAAGAGAAGGAAAGAAATCATCAAGATCAGAGCAGAAATTAATGAAATAGAAACAAA